GATGGAAAATAATTGCTTCTAATTGTGCAATCAAAAAAAAAAAAAAAGGTTTGGGAAGAATGGCTTGACTATGACTAGATCTCTTGTATAAGAACATTATTTAAATAGAGTTGTTGCATAAGGTAGAACCATGCATTCATCTAATTAAACTAATTTAAAAGCAACTATAAAATGATAGAAATAATCAAGTTTATAAACAAAATAATGATAACTCTAGAAATAATGGGTTTGCAACTTTAAGAGTTGAAAAGAATTTCTTAAAAGTACATAAATACTTCATAAAAAAACTGTATTTAACTTAACTTTAACTTTAGTAATTAAAAAAGAGTTTTTAAAAAGTTGAACCATACAAATACTAATAAATCTCCTAATTTTAACGTGGATAACTTAAATTTCGAGATTAAATTACTACTTAGTTTATTAATTAATTAAGGCATGATGAACAGTTTTAATTAATAAATAAATTAAAAAAATAAAATAAAATGAGGTTTAAGTCTCATTGGGCCTTTGGACAAAAATAATAAATTGGTCCGTGACGGGCTCAAAGTAAACCCATTTGAACATGAGACGGCCTCAAAGCTCAAAAGGGGCGTTTTGGATAAAGCAAACCAGGACTTAACTGATTCTGCAATCTGCTTGCTAGACGAGAAAAAAAAAAAATCAAGCTCAGAAGCGAGAGAGGGAGCTGATGAGTAGTGCCGGCGGAGGATAAGGAAAATGCAAACCCTTGTCCATACTCATCCCTGTAAGTCTTTTGCTCTTCTCAGTTCTTCACCACCGTTTAATCTTTATGAATCAGTTCAGTACACAGCTTTGAACTCATGTTCTGTTAAGAGAGCCCCAATTAGCAGAGTACCAAAAGCCTTGCCATTTTCTAGGAAAGTTCGATTCTTGAGAGATAACCATGTAGTACTTTTCTCGAAAAATGATAGCTTTGATGATTTTTCCAATACCCAGTTGCCAGGAAAGGTTGAGAATGATGGAATTGAAGGAAATGAGGGGCTTGAGCTGTTAAATAAGCCTAGTCCAGCACCTGTGAATAATGGGATTGCCTCAGAAGTTGGTAAAGAATCTGAAAAGGCTAATAAAGATGAGGCTTTGCAGCATTTTTTGAAGTTTTTTAAGCCGAGAGATTCATTAGGAGAAGGGGAAGAAGTGGAAAACAAGGGAGTTGAATTAGGAGTTTCTCAGGAGGAAAGTGATGAATCTAAGAAGGAAAGTGATGAATCTGGGAAGGTTAATGTGGAATATTATGAGCCAAGACCTGGTGATTTTGTGGTGGGCGTTGTTGTTTCTGGTAATGAGAATAAACTTGATGTGAATGTTGGGGCAGACATGTTGGGTACAATGTTGACAAAAGAGGTGCTGCCTCTGTACGACAAAGATATGGAATATTTATTGTGTGATAGGAAGAATAATCTTGAGGAGTTTATGGTTCATGGGAAGATTGGAATTGTTAAGGATGAGGATGCAATGAGTGGGGAGCCAGTCCTAGGAAGGCCAGTGGTTGAGACTGGAACAGTTCTGTTTGCCGAGGTTCTTGGAAGGACTCTTAGTGGTCGGCCTTTGCTTTCAACACGACGATTCTTCCGTAGGATTGCATGGCATCGAGTGAGGCAGGTTCTTTTCTTTCTTTTTTCCTTCTGTTCTCATAAAATTTTGGTGATTTCATCATGTCTATGGCTTGTCTTGCTTGAAAACTTTCCAATTGCTCTATGGGAGAGTGTTTTCGTTTATTTCAGATTGTTGTATGGGGCATCCTATGACATTCATTTTCACACATAAAGAAGATTTGGTCTATTGATAGTTAATCTATTTGTTCTTGCATCACTTTTGCTGCAAAGGATTGACATCCTCATTGTTTTAAGTCACTATAATTGTTAAACTTTTTTAGTAATAAAATTTGAATTATTTAGTGCCTCTGCTGCATCTTCTGCAGATAAAACAACTCAATGAGCCCATTGAGGTTGAATTCAGAGAGTGGAATACTGGTGGACTCCTGACAAGAGTTGAGGTTTGTGCCTCTGACTTCCGTTATATATGTGCATGTAGAAAACATGTCAGTAAATGTGTAACTTTTTTCAGTTTTAGTGTTGCAGGGTTTGCGGGCTTTCCTTCCAAAAGCTCAGTTGATGAAGAGAGTGAACAACTTTGCTGAGTTGAAAAACTATGTAAGTTTCTTGTCATGTTTTTTTGATTTACTAATTCTCTTTACATTTTCTGTATAGTTGTTTTCTATCTATGTTTCCTTAGTTTTCTTTCTATGTTTCCTTAGTTTTCTTTCATTTATCACCAGCTTCTTAAGACTTTGTTGACTTGTTAATGGTGTAGGTGGGGTGCCGAATGTACGTGCTGATTACTCGAGTAAATGAGGCTAATAATGACTTGATACTGAGTGAGAGGGAAGCTTGGGTTAGTTTCTTTGTGACTTAGTTATAGCTCATAATCATTTGGTTCTTAGATATATTATTGAGTTTCTATCAGATTGTTTGAAAAAAAAAAAACAGAAAGTAACCTGCTGATTTTTACCATAAAACTGTTGCAGGAAATGCTGCACCTTCGAGATGGAACGCTTGTAGATGGAACTGTTAAGAAAATTTTACCATATGGAGCCCAAATACTAATAGGTGAATCGAACAAAAGGTAACAAAGGCTATTTGGTTAGCATTTTCATCCTAACATGAAGTTTATTTGGTATTCCTATATAGTTTTTTCATTCTGTACCTATGAGAGATTCTCATTGATTTTAAATGTGTTGCAGTGGGTTGCTGCATATCTCAAATATGAGCAAAAACCGAATCACTGCTGTTGGTGACTTACTTAAAGAGGGGGAGAAGGTCAAAGTCCTAGTTGTGAAGTCGCCTTTTCCTGACAAAATATCCCTCAGGTAATTGAGGAGTGTGTTTATCATCATTGAGATTGTACTGTGCTTTGTGGCACTTCTCTGCCATTTGATTTTATTTTCTTTGAAAGTAATCTTAGATCCTGTTTTTATTCCAAAGCTCCAGTTCCTATAGTCTTTATCTGAAACCTGAAGCAGTTATAAAAAATGCTCTCCCATCGCACCATATCTCTTAGTATTGAAGGTATATCTCTTTGGAAAGATGCAAGTTCTAATTGCAGTTTTGTTTGTTTCTTTCAGCCTTGCTGACCTTGAGAGTGAGCCTGGCCTATTTATATCAAACAAACAGGTATGGACAATAATCCTCTCTATCGGGGGTTGTTGGGTGAGGTTATGAGTTTTATGTTGGATAACTGATAGAATTTTGTGCTCGTTGAACAGAAAGTGTTTTCTGAGGCTGAAGAGATGGCTAAACAATACAGGCAAAAGCTACCAGCTGCTATAGCTCCTCCTAACATAGAACCCTTCCCCACTGAAGTTCCCCCTTTTGAAGATGAAGCAAGTCTCTATGCAAATTGGAAATGGTTCAAATTTGAGAGAGATGATGAATCAGATTGACTACTGATTAAAGGTTTCATTGCCCTCAATGAACTTGCAAAGCTGAGGATCAAGGTCTTACGCTTCCAACCCCTCTGTTTGTCAAATGAGCACTCACCTTGCCATTGAAGAAAAGGGAAACTTCTCTCATTAGGCAAACAACCCTTCTGCCGGAATTGGGAGAGAAATCTCCTCTAGCATGTGATTATGTTTCACATCACAAATCCCCTGTTCATCTGGGAGTTCAGGGAGCAATAGACCAACACAATACAAGATAATCACGCTCTTAACATGACTTCCACTGTCAAATGTTGTATCATCAAACATTGTGTTACAAATGATTCTTGTCTGTTGGCAATCATAATGTTTATTTTGAGAGGTAATGATTTTTCATTGGAGCTTTTGTTTTCTTGATGTTTTTATTAATTTAATAATAAGAATAATAAAAGAACATGCCAAAATTATTTAAGAACAGGACACCCTGAAGCAAGAATCCAGAGCCTTTCTGTTAATGTAACATAAATGGTCATATTTGACTCCTTTATCTTTTATGGAGTTCCTATGCATATTATATGTGGCCAAAATTGTAAGCTTGCAAAAGGTCCTTAACAGAAAGCGGGATTTAAGAAAAGTTGTCTTTTAAAATTCAGCATTTTGTTTCATCCTAAAGCCAATTCTCCTCCACCAACCCTAACCCTACAGCTAGAGTACCATGAGGCTCTGCTGCAGCTGGCTAGCTTTGAGGGTCACTTCTTTTTGTCTTCATCATATATTCTTCTCTTTGGTGTATAGGAATGGCGCTTGATCAGCTAGCCCCTTGAATTTATTTTATTTTCTCAATCTAACCTTTGAACTTATTTTTGGACCAATTAAGCCCTTGTGCCATATCATGATTTGGCAAGTTACAGGCTAAAGTTAATGAGGAAAATCATATCATTATCATCTTATATGTTAGCACAAGTTACTTAGTTAACTCTCTTAGGCTATATGAAATCTAATTTGATAGTGTAAAGTTAATGGAAAAAGTCATGTCATCGTTCTCATCTCTCTATTAATGCCCTGCTGTGTCAACTTCCTTTACCTATACGAAAAACTAACTAGACAATGTTGTGTAGGAAGGACCTACCAATCAGGCCCATAAAAATAACTCTTCTCTACCTGTATCAATGCCACAATATTAGATTTCAAGCAAGCCAAGGAATCTGTCCTTACAAGAGAGATGACAATAACATGTCAAAAATTAGTTAGAGAGCTATATTGCAGAAAATAAATAAGTCCAGGGGATCTTGGGTGTTATTCCTTAACAATATAATAATACAAATAAAAGGAAAAAAAAAAAAAAAACCCATTGTTGAGAAGGTAGAATCTAAGTGAAGGAGCTGCTGAGTAGCCCTAATAAAATAGGGTTAGGGGCTCCATGAAATTGTAAAAGACAACAACAAAAAAAAAAAAAGAACAGCCAGAAAATTTGTTTTTTGTTCAAGTGTAACCAGACTACTAATCTTTCTTTCTGGTAGACAAAAAAGAAGAAACCATTGATGTCTGCCCATAAAGAGGGAAGATTTTGGATTACATTTCCTCTGGACTTCTTTTCTTACAAATCTGGAGAAGAAAGTATCTAAATGCTTGTCCTTAAAGACACAATTTCCATAACCATGGTAGTACAAACCCACGAATATTAAACAAAAAGAAATTAAAAAAAATATGACAAAAATGTTGGAGCGCCTATGTAATGCGTCTCAGCGGACTGAATCTCATAAGTGGATGCATGTACTTCAAATCTTAATGTTCATCTATGGCTGATATTTTGATACTATTAATTTTTTTTTAAAAAATGATACTATAGTTTATAATTTATAATTGTACTATGATATTGACTAAGTCACTAACCATAATTTGGACCTTGTTAACATGAAATATGCATCTTTGGTGGGGAACTGGATGGACCTCCCCACAAAAAACCTAATAGTACAAATTTCTAATTATAACATTTATTACTTTATTTTTTTTATTATCTTTAATTTATAGTATTTTTTTAAAAAGGGTTTTTTTAATATGTGTCTAATAGTCTTGAAAAAATAAACATTGACATTTAATTTATCATTTTTCTAATTAAATTTATTCAAATAACAATAACTTTGAAATTAATGTCAATCTTTACGTTTTTTTATATATGTTTATGACAAAAAAGCATTTGTAAGATATAGTTTAGAAAAATTCTTTTAAAAAAATTAAGATTTTATTACGTATTGATATTAATTAATGTTGTTAAACAAGAACTTGATGTTAATTAAAAGCAATGGTTGGTTGATGGGGATCATGTCTTTTACTAAGCTAAGCAACATATTTTTAGAGATCAATGCATGAGTTAATGATACGTCAATCTTAAGAAATGCTTACTATTTTTCTAACTATTCTTTTATATATGTTGTTCAAAGATAGATATATTTTTTATTTGCCATAATCGTTCGAGGATATATACTCTTCGTAGTTACAAACGATTTTTTTGTTTTTCATATGAGGACTGCCAAGTCAATGTCTATTCATTTACACTACTGTGAGAAATCATTTAAAAAAGAGTAATAACAACTAATGCTAATTATTTTTAGTCTTATGATGACGGCTAATTGTCATCCCTCTAACCAATTCTTAAAATATAATATATTTTTCTCATGTTTGATAAGTGTGGTTATTATCATTATTAATATTATAAAAACAATTAAAATTTTGATTTTTTAAATAGTATCTAAAAATATCAATTAATTAATTAATTTTAATTTATAATTAATAAATAATAATTATTTTGTCATTATTAATTAATAATTATAATTATTAATTATTTTTATCAATCAAATTAAATAAAATTAATATTTTTAAAGACAACATTTTAAAATTTTAGTGACCATAATATCATTATTAATGACCATAATTGTACCCATATCAAATAGTGGTTCTATTTTTTTTTTATTGGCTCAATATTTTTATATAACAAATGAATTGTTAATTAACTATTTTTTTTTATCAATAATCAACTTAAACATAGCAACTTAAAATTAAGTTGATATAAATTTAGTAGAACTAATATACACTTGTAACTTTCAAAACTTTACTGTAATTCAAATATTTGGATAGAACAAATTCAAGCTTTTATACTAACAACTAAGAACCAACTTTTTTGGCATGTGACTGAACAAAAGTACTACTTCTTTAGTTTTTTTTTTATTAGGGCAAATAATTCGGGGGAAAAGGAATGGGGAAAGAGATCGAAACTGTTGTCATGATGAAAAATACTTACATTAAGATGTTGGGTCATTAGGCTGACAGCCTTTCTTTATTATTTCTTTAATTAATGGATTAGGTTCTTGTATAAGTTGGGTTATGGTGGGTATTTGAGTCCCCAATTATTAACTCTTTTGACTTCAAAAAACCAAGCGCAAGAACAGTAATTAGGGTTTTGTTTTAGTCATTTATGTATGGCCAATTCTCAACGACAAAAACATTGATTGAAAAATCTCATTTTTCCCAAAACAAAAAATTCCAAAAAAGAAAAGAAAAAAAAAAGAATTCATGACATTGATGAGTTGTATCTCGTGCGGCTGAATTGTTGGAATACAGTCAAAACAAAAACCCTAAATTAAAAACCCTAATCGAGAATTGTGCCCTAATTTATCCCACAAAATCCTACCTCTCATGTGACTTATCTTTAGCCTCACTCCCAAAACCATCCCACCTCCCTTTCCTCGGTTAACCCAAAAGAATCGCCTTACTTAAATTCACCCAAACAGTAAAAAAGCAAAAAATAAAAATTAAATTTTTTAATAATAATTTTTTCTTTTAAGTACCAAGGCTGTGCTAGTTTCTGCCCTAAAATCAGATACTCCAATGGGGTTCTCCTCTATGTGCACGCCAGAGAATTGTTTAAGTGCGTGGTATAAAATTGTAAGCTTAGCTAAAGACATTGAAAATGGTTTGCCAAACTTTAACCCCTTTTGCCTTTCACAATCCCCTAAGCTAACCTGCATGCCTCAACCCTATTCTCATCAAACTTCTTCTATTCCCAAGACAAGAACACCCACCTCCTCCTCCCCTCCCCCTCCACACTCCATGCTCACAATCCACGGCTCCATGCCCATTTCCATCAACCTTCAAGTTCTTGATTCTTATGTGAGCTATTTTGATGATATGTTTAGTTGGGTATAGCATCTAAAATATACATAATAGTATAGAAATTAGCGTTTACGTATATAAAAAAACAATTTCATGTTTTGTAGTAATTATAAAGTAAACTATATTGAATTCTAAAATTCTAATAAATTAAATTATCTAGTGATTAAATGATTATTATTTTTTAGTTTATACAATTTGAATACTAGAGCTTACTTTTATAAGTAAAAAAGAAATGATTTTTCTTATGCCTTAATGGTATTTTTTTGTAATAAAT